GATGAGTATAACCGACTGGAAGCAACAAGAGAAGAAAGAGAGAACAAGGTTTGTCGTTTGATTAGCTCTGTATGCAAATTATTGTTGTATATACAAACATTGTCTAGTGCAAATTTTGATAGAAGAATTTTTGCCTGCAAAATATTTCGCAATGTCTGTTTGCTGAATGTGAGATAGTGCGTCAAGAGAAGGACATTGCGCGCAATACTATTTCGAAAGATAAAAAGTACAAGTGAAGAAGGCAACACATTTCGAAAAAAGATATAATACTTGCAGTTTTGTGCTACTGTCTGCGCTAATTGTGTTGTTGTTCAAAAGTTACTCAAATCCAAATATTGCTAAAGTTATCAACGAAATCACAGTCTCAAAAGAAAGTCATCGGATTGTTGTTCCAAATCTAATTTTTCCAACGAAGGTTTAGATGGTTTCATTTTTTAAAATTAAAAACTCATACAAAAACTTATAGAAGCGAGATGCACGAGTTTTGGGAAACTGGCGAAAGCTTATTCGAGGCATTCTTCGCCTTCACTATGTTAAGTCGAAGTTTGGTACCATAAAGGAAAAGGTATAGATATTGTACTCATACAGTGTTATTTCTCAAAACCGTAGAAGCCAGGTAACTTCCCCTTAAGGCTCGACCTAAAAAGAAGAAGACAGCTGAAAATAAGGAGGCGGACGAGAAAGGTGAAAACGAAAATGTTATCGACAGGACAGTAATGGCCCCAAGACAAGTATTCACTCATGATGATTTAATGAAACTTTGATAGGGGTTTTTGATCATAACTTTGGTATTCATCTTTAAACTTGATCAACTGATTGGCAACTTATCTTTACAATTTCCAAAAAATTCTGAAACTAATCCAGAAAATATCTTCATATTTAAAAATTTTAATTTTTCGATCTGCAAGCAATCTCAGTTACATAATAATTTTTATTCGCTTTATGTCATGCGCATCATTGCTTTAAATGCAGTTGCATTGGGATAGTTTTATTCTGGTAGTGATATATTGTATCTCATGCCTTTAGTATAAATCCGAATGCGATTTGCAGTTAATCTCAGTCTTATATTACGCACAC